GACGCACACACACATACACACACACACACACACACATACACACACACACCGGGGTCGCCGCAATATGCGTTTTTGCATTCGCATATTATGCAAAAACGCATAAAAATATCCAAAGTGCACACATCGAATAGGAGTGTACTAACTGGAGGCATGCAGCTCAAGATGAAGAGCCTGCGATAGTTGCACTCGGCGTGTGAATGCAACCCAACAACATTAATAATGCATAATACCACCAGTGACTGCCCGGGCAATCTTGGCATATTCAGAGCACAGTGAACAAGACTATCCGCACGAGCTCGGACATCACTGGTATGCCAGATGCAACTATACCAGCCCATCTATTTTGGCTGCATCTCTCCTGTGTATCAGTTACAGCTACCTATTTATGCAAACCATTCCTTCGAACATGCTAAACGGTACGTAAGTTTCATAGCACCGTTCGAGCAGGGATGAGACGGAAAATATAGAATTGGCTGCGCAAGATACACAACAGTGATAAAACGACCAGTAAGTGAAATTGAAAAAAAATGAAAAAAGTAGAGATTACACCATAGATACAATTATGCACCAGCAACGAATGTGAACAAATTTTTGGCATAAGTAGCAACACTGACATTTGTTTGAAGATGATAAAGCAACAACGATGACAGGCAACAACTAAACATAACATGGGCAAGATAAGGCAAACAAATACTGCTAAACAGATTTTCCATAAAAAAATCACCCGCAGCCTAGACAAAAAACGACCTCATTCATAAAACTCTAGTTCGGACTAAATTCAACTGTCACTCAAACAAAATAAACAGAAGCGAGAACGTAACAAAAAACAAGCCAAAACACAAACTGGCATCTGCACTACGATATCAGCATCTCAAACTCCAGGAAGAACGACACTGGCTGCAAAGTTTAAGAAGCATACAACAGATTCATATCATGCCAGTCAACAACAACGTTAAGCTTAATCTAGTAAAATCCCAGTCCATTTCACACTCTTTCAGAGATGGAGGCATTCGAAAGCGGCCAGCTGAGGACAGTAAAAACCGATTCGCGATGGTTCTTTACATAATCAGGAGTGATAAATGGAAGCAAAATTCTTTTTTGAGACTGTCACCTTCAAATTAAGTCAAAAGAAATCAAATCCCAACGAATTTGCTCTCTATGAGAGGTGAAGGCACCAGAGAAGCAACTGCCAATAGCAACCACCTGCTAGCAGGGCTGTCAGTAGCTCCTTCTTTCGAGGGCTGATGGCGGATCAGAGTTACTGACGCATGCCAGTACCAATTTATCATCGAAACGAATGAACGAACCGAAGAGCAGACTGGTTTTTTTTTTTTTTTTTTCAATTGCGTAGTTGAACCCTCGATCTACTGCACAACAGTGCCATTTCCCACTCCACCGTACTCGCTGACCACTTGCCAATACTTCCAAATACATTAACAGATATGATATGAAAAAAATTCAAAGTCAAAAACCCACATCCTTTCCCGGATGACGACGAAGACTAAAGGAATTTAATCAATTCCAAAAATCCGCCTTCTTAATTTTGTCGTAGCAAACGCAATACGCGGCTAAGAAATAGTTCTTGTCAATGATACAGTGAGGCAAGTCGCCATACTGGTTCACATGACTGATCGACGCCAAATCCACAGTGATCGTATTTTCTAGCACATTATATTGAACGGTGGCCTGAAACAAGCAAGGAAGCTGTATGTTACAACCCACAAGCAAATCCAGCATCGAATGACTAAAGCGTTTCAACCACAAGAGATCAGCTGGATGAAACCCGTAAAAAAAATGAAGCGTTCGGCCAAATAAAACTGAAACCGGTAATCACAGTAATGTACTCAACGATAGCTTATCAAAACAGCATTTCTCGCACCCTATCTCGTAATTCCCCAGACTTTAGAATGACAGTTTTTACCTCATACAGCGCATTTCCAGGCATCGTGCGGAATTTAAGCTGATAATGTGCAAATGCAGCTTTTGTTTCGGCAGCTAAATTCGGTACAAAGCCATCCGGATCTTTTGTATCCTTATATTTGAGCAAGTTTTGATGAGGAACAAGCCTTTGAGAATTTTCCAAATCGGCCTAAAAATGAGCATTTCTGTAATTTCTTAATAATGAATTCACATCTCATCCATAACATCCACCACCTTGTGGATTCTCTTCGGTACTGTGTTAGACTGTTACAGCAGCGATTTATTCTCACTGCACCTCCCCCAACAGGTGCATTGCAGCTGTTTCTGTGTCAATAGCTACTCGAACTTTATCTGTTTCCTGCTCAAATCCTGTGACGGCACTCACGGAAGCCAAAAGATTTACTGAAAGGAATGCACGACTTTACACCTGCATTTCTCTTTCCTAACCTGTTTTTATCCCATTAACAGCCCCGTGATTTGCTAAGCAGCACCACAGCACAGCGACTAAATTTAATAAATGGCAACGCGCACCAGGCTAGCCGGTGCGGTCATGCGTTTTGTGCAATTCAGCCCATCGA